TACATACATATATATATAAAATGTTTTACACACACACATACATTTAAAAATAAACCCACTTATTTGTCTATAGAAAAGGAGTGCTGAGTACTTACCTTAGACTTGTTTTCCCAAAGACCTTGAAACTGTATCTGCTATGATTTCGTGATAGTCTCTAATGCTGCCATACTAATTGGCCATTAGTTAAGATCAGATTATCTAGGAATAAAATTGTGAACCTGTAAAATAGAGTATGTGGAAATTGAAAAATTCAGGGAGCATCAGCAAAGATAACTGATAAGACCTAGTGGATGGTACAGAGGATATCAGTGTTCAAAGTCGTCATAAAAGTTTTTGTCTTCTGAGAGGCTTTCCAAAATAACAGTGTTAAAATGTGTGAGACTGTTTTAAAAATATTCCATATGCTGGAAAGAATGTAAGGAACATGTATGTAAAGTTTGGAAATCAGGAACACACTCATGTTCACTACCCAACTTTAGAAATGAAACACTGCTAAACCTTTCAAGTCCTTTTGTGTGACCCTTCCCCATTCACATTCCCACTACCTTCCTGTCTGAATGTAACTGTTCCTCTGAATTTTAGTGTTTACTATTTTCTAGCTTTTCTTTCTAAGTTCACCACATAGGTATGTATCACTACACAGTAAAAATGGAAACAGACTGTATTTTTCTGACTTGCTCTTCTTAAACAGCTTTCAATGTGAAATTGAGTTTTGTTGATGCACACATGTAGCTCTGGTTCATTTATTTTAAGTGCTGTGTAGTTTTTGTTTAGTAGTGAAGTTTTAATAATTCAGTGGACAGCTTAGACATACTTAAGGAGAATTTTAAGAAATTATCCAGAATGCTTCAAAAAAGAGGTAAAGAGGGGAAAAAATTAAAGGAAGGTTAAGAAAAATGGAGGATGAGATGAAAAGTTCCAACAGAGGTGTAAAAGGAATTCTAAAGAAGAAAAGAACAGAAAATGAGAGAGAATCAATACCCAAACAAATAATGGCAAAAATTATCCAGACTTCATAAAGTTATAAATGTTAATATTCAGTCCTGAGCAGGATAAATTTAATCTACATCAGGGTACAATGTACTAAAGTTGCAAAACACCAAAACCAAAGAGAAAGCATTACTATATTAACTGTAGAGAAACTAACAATTGTAATAGAAGGCAGCAGACTTGAACAGACATAACAGTAGAAGCCAGCAGACTATAGAGTAATATCTTCAATGTGCCGAGAGAAAAAACAGCTTTTAACATAGAATTTTTATACCCAGTTAACCTATTTTATGAGAGTGGTGGCAAAATACACTTTTAAACAAAGACTGCTGAATACTAATGATATGAAATGTTTCTTAGAAAGAAGGAAGTTGAGCCAAGAAGAAAGGACTATATAAAAAAGTAATGGTGAACAAATTGGTGAATGTGAATAAATAAGTTTTGACTGGATGAAATAATAATAATTGATGTACAGAATATAGAGCAAGGTGGAACTAAAAGGTTAAATAATAATAAGCTAGATGATGTGTGTTAAAAACTGTTAAGGTCTTTTATATTGTTCAGGAAAAGGGCATATGTGAATTTTAATTTTAGGCATTGTTAAGTGTGGCTTGCATACCTAAAATTTAGTAAAAGAGTAGAAATATATAACTTTCAAATCAAATCAATAGAAATAGCTGATGAGGAAGTAAGGGAAAGTGTCACCCCATTAGGAACACAGGACCCGAGTACACGGAGAAGTGGGGAAACAGCAAGACAAGTAAAAGTTAATCCAAATATATCAGTAATAACAACTAATGTAAGTCATATAAATCTGCCAGTTAAAAAAACACTCCTTTTTTAAAAAAACCTAGGTATATGTTATTTATAAGAGCCCAGAAAAATACAAAGTAGAGGAAATAGTAGCCAGGAAAAGGTACTATAAGTTATATGACATCTTACCATATACTCTAGGACAAAGGTGTTATTAGGGATAAAGAATAATACTACAAATGGTGAAAGGTTCAGTCTACCAGGAAGATATTCTTCTAAAAGGATACATGTGAAATGGTATAGTATCAAAATATATAAAGGAAAAACTGACAATTATAAGGAGAAATTAACAAATCTGTAGCTAATAGTGGGAGATTTTAATAAGCATCTCTCAATAATTAAAAGGATATAAATGATTTGAACAATATAATTAATACATGTTGTATAATAGATATATGTAGAACCATACATCTCCCATATAAGAGCCTACACACTCTCTTCAGGCACACATAAATTATCAATACGAATTAACCATGTGCTAGGCCACAAAGCAAGTCTCAGCAAATTCTACAAAATCAGTACCATATAGATCACACGATTTTTTATCCACATTGCAATGTAATTAAAATCTGTAACAAAAAGCTAACTTGATAAGTTATATTTGGAAAGTTAAATTTTGAAAAGATAGAAACATACTTTTAAATAATTCAAATTGATGGGTCAAAGAAAAAAGCATAATGAACTTAGAAAATATTTAGCAGTGGTCATTTTTTTTTCATTAGTTTTTACCCAAAGACATTTTTTCCATTGCTTTTAAAGAGAGGAAGGGAGAAAAGAAAGGAGAGAAAGAAACATCAGTGTGAGAGAGAAGCATTGATTGGTTGCCTCCCATGTGCTCTGGTCCGGGATCAGTGCCTGGACCCAGGATAGCACATATCCCAGCATATACCCACTCCAGGGCTGGGGTCAAACCCACAACCTAGGAATGTTCAAATTCCCCAAATGGCAATTGAACCCACAAGCTTTTGGTTACAGGGTGACGCTCTGGCCAACTGAGCCATACTGATCAGGGCAGAAGTGATCAACTTTTAAAATACTACAATACCAGACAAACCCAAACTGAGGGACATTCTACACAATACCTGACCAGTAGTACCCTTTCAAATACTGTTATGTCAAAACTTAAACATAAAGATAAATCAGGACTTAGAGGTAAAATATTGTCTTTAAACACATGTATTAGCCCTGGCTGGTGTAGTTTAGTGTTTAGAGTGTGGGCCTGCGAAACAAACAACCACAGTTCAATTCCCAGTCAGGGAACGTGCCTGGGTTGCAGGCCAGTTCCCAGCAGGGGATGCACGAGAGGCAACCATACATTGATAGTTCTCTCCCTCTCTTCTTCCTTTCCCCTCTAAAGATAAATAAATAAAGTCTTAAAAAACATACATGTATTGGAAAAGAAGAAAGATTAATGAGTTAAGTATTCACTTCAAGTAGTTAAAAAATAGAGTAATTGCAAAGGAATAGAAGGAAGAAATAATAAAAATTTAGTGAAGTAGGAAACAAAGAATCAACAAAACCAAAAGTTGGTTCTTTGAAAACACTAATAAAGTAGACAAACCTGTATAGGACTGATCAAAAAAGAAAGAAAAGATACAAATAAAAATATTTGGATAAAAAGAAGACATACTGTGAACATTTTTATAAACTAGTGTATTTAAAAAGGAAAATTTTCCTAAAAGAGCCAAGAATATTCAAGATAATTTGGGGAAAAAAGGGATGAAAGGAGTAGTGAAGAGAGATGTTTATTTTATCAGATGTTAAGATTACTATAAAATTATAGTGATTAAAACATCATCATACAGGCACAAGGCTAGGCAAATCTGTGAAATAAACTGCACATCTTAAAAAGAGCCACAAATATATTAGAAGTTTATATGAGTAAGAAACATAAATTGGGGCAGGGATGGACTGTTCATTAAATGGGGAAATTGACTAACCTTACTAGTAAAAATTAAAGTAGATTTCTATTTCACAGCATACCTAAAATCCTAAATAAATTAAGTAACCAAATGTGAAAAACCAAATAAAATATACATGAAAGAATGAATGAATAAAAGGATGAAAAGAGCCCATGTTTGAAAATACAGCAGTTTGCAAACAAAGGCAAGAGCACGTGTATTAAATGCATGGCATAGTGCTGACTGGCGTGGCTCAGTGGATTGAGTGCCTGCCTACAAACCAAAGGGTCACCAGTTTGATTCCCAGTCTGGACACATGTCTTGGTTGCTGGCCAGGTCCCCAGTAGGGGGTGGGTGAGGCAACCACACATGGATGTTTCTCTCTCTTTCTCCCTCCTTTCCCCTCTCTCTAGAAATAATTAAATAAAAAATTTAAAAACTAAAGTGAAATGCATGAAATAGTAAACAAAAAGGGAACTGAATCATGGCTGAAGGCAAGTGTATATTCTGAAAAGGGGTTGGTGCCATGACCTGGATCCCTTCCCTGCGTTATGAATTCTAAAATAGTAAATACAGATACACACACGTGTGTGCATGTGTATGTAATCTTTCTGTAAACAAGTGTTTAAATGTAATAAATAAGTACACTTGAGAGAATACTAATAAAGCAAGTGCCATGTGCCTACCACCTAGCTTAAGAACAGAACAAGACCACTACTTTTCAAGCTCCTCTAAGATTTCACCTCCCCCTTCCTAGACAAATTATCCTCTATTTTGTATGGTAATTCCCTGGATTTCATTTTTAGTTTTACATTTATGTATGTGTCTCTAAACAAAGTATATTTTTACTTTTGCCTTTTAAAAAACTATGTATAAATGAAGTCATACTCTGTTTTTTTCTGTGCCTTGCTTTTTTTTGTTGTTCAACATTGTGTTTTTTGATTCATCTATTTGTATATAGTTGTAGTTTGTTAATCTCAATTACTGTGTACTTTTCCATTGTAGTAATATTTTGCAATGTTTTTGTTCATTTTATATTTGGGGGGCATTATGTTTCTTTATAAAAAAATTCTTTAGGGTTAATTGCTACCTGTAGTTATTCCCACCTCAGGTTGAACTTTTTTTTTTAACTATTAGGCTTGGAAAATTTGTTCTTAGCTTGAGATAATCAAGATGTTCTAGTTTTCCTTTTATCATTGATTTGAGATAGATATTAGTTCATTTTTTTCATTGCACATGATTCGGATACATTTGGCTTCTCTCATCTTGATGCTGAATCTCGTGTTGGATTCACAGTTCCTATGGAGAACGTTGCAACCATTGCTGATTGTGCCAGTGTGATTGAAGGAGTGAGTCGGAGCCGAAACGCCTTGCTAAACGGGGACACCAAGAACTATGACTGGGATTCTGGCTACACGTGTCATCAGCTAGGGAGTGGTGCGATTGTGGTCCAGCTGGCACAGCCATACATGATTGGGTCAATACGGTAAGAAGATTCTTTTTCATTCATCACTTTTAAAATGGGAGATATGTGTGCAAATAATATTTTGGGATGGTGATGGTCCCAATACCCTCAGTGAAGATGCTCTTCTGTTCTTTGCTCTAAATTATCAAGTAAAGGGTGGAAAGGGGGGAACAAAGGAATTTAAAGTGCTTGTTTAGATTCTCTGGTGGGGAGATGCACCAAAATTAGACTTGTGGAGAAACTGGAATAGAGGCCTCTTCCTGAGCTTATATTGGTTAGGGACTTATAGTATAATGTCAAGACAGGTTATATAGAATCAAAAATCATTTGCAACTTTAATAAGTTACTTTACATAGGAACCAAGTAGAACTGTATAGGAGACCTGTTTCTAAAAAGTCTTTGTAATGATCTTCATTTGGTTTTTAGTTGTTGTTTTAATTTTGTTTTAAAAAAGGAACTTTAACTCAATATTGCTTGATTTACAGGGTCATATAATTTTAAAATGTGAGACTATTGACATCCCCTAGAGAATATACTTTCAGTTCAAGAGAGCCATCTGGGTCTTGAGTAGGCTGCCTTTATTTTTTTTTAATGTTCCAAGAAGCTCTCTGAAAGACTGACTAGTGGTGTATTATGTATATTTATATTTATACTTATATTTATATTCAGTGTTAGATAAGATATTTTACATTATATCTTAGCTGCCATGATTAGAGATGTTGGTGGGATATGGCTGCCTTCCCCCCATCCTGTTCTGCCACATTTGCTTTGTTGTTTCCTGTTTTCATTTTGAAGTCAGTATATGTAAAAAGAGAAATAGCACAGAAAAATAAGGTAGTAGGATCATAATAGACAAAGGTTAATTCATCTTTAGGCTAATAATCATGAAGCTTATCAGTGCTTGTCAGTTCCTAGAAGTACCCTGACAAATGATGGTGGATTTCTTGGAGAATTCAGACTGTGGATTTCTTCATTTAAATTGTCAACTTTTTTCATAAAGGGCTTATATAGTCTGAGTACCATAGACAACAAATCACAGGTAGAAAAGTCTGAAGTTTATACTGCAGACCAGACAACCCACTTTGTGCTTAGGAAGTGGGGAGAGACAAGCCACAATCAGTCTGGACAAACTACCAGTACAAATAAACTTCTGTCACATAGCAATCAACAGTCCCTCCTTCCTTTTCCTCAGCTGCATGCATTAACTGAAGTATTTATAAGCCATTTATTTTGTAAACCATTCTAGAATTTTTGTCATAGATGGTAGGAAACTTATCTGAATATTTCTCATTACAATCTGTCCCTCTTCACTTTAAAAATCTGGGAAACAGTTGTCCTTCTCTTGTCACTGGCACTCTTTATAGTTTCCACAGTTTCTCGAAGATTACCAATTGTGTCTCTGAGATTACATCTGCAGTTTCTTTCAGAAGGCTTGTGGTGTAACTCATCTGAGCCAGGAGACCTGAAATCATTTAAATCGACTAGATACTCTTTCTTTCACTTCACCTATTTGGGGCTTCAATTTTCTTTTTATTATGTTTGTTCTGCCATTTCTAATCTGAAGACTGGTCTTCTTGCCAATGAAGATGTAAGCAAACTGGCAGCTTAGCGGCTCTGCTCGTTCTCTCTTAATGTTCCTTGCATTCTATCTGCTTGCCTGGTACCCCCTCCCCTTCCCCTGCCTAACAGTGTTCCATGTGCATCTCAGTTCAGAAATGGATTTCTTTATGCTTCCTTTCCCCTGTTTGAGTTGTCTCATACCATGATTCCCAGTCTCATTCTGTGATGCCACCCCTCTACCCATCACCTGAGCCAAAAAAACATAGGAATCTTTCTAAATTTCTTCCTCTCCCTCCCCTCCTCCCCTCAACCAGTCATCTGTAAAGCTCTGTCAATACCAGTTCCTACATGTCTCACAAATCCTTTCCTCTTCTCCATCCCACTTCCATCACCACACCAGAGTTGCACCTTAGTAGTTTCTTCTCTATACCTGCTCTTCAGACTTTCACCGAGCCCTTCCTTCCCCACCAGCAACTATCTGCCACCTGTTACCACAAATCCGATGCAGTCATGCCCCTTCCTAAGAAGAGTCCTGTCTACTGTTTGCCTTCAGGGGAAAGTTCAGACAAAAGCACTTAAAAATCACCTGACTTGATTTCTGTCTGTACAGCCTGGCTCGTGTTTCTTCACCCACCCTGTAACTGCTCTGTCTCAGCCTATCCAGCCACTTGCAGTTTTGCACATGTATCACCTTCTGTTACCCTCATGCCTTCAACTCTTTGAACATGCTGTTCTCATTGCGTGTGACTCACACTACTTTCTCATCACTCTCTTTTTTACCTGGCTCTTATTCCCCCTTGAAGACTCCACTCCTCTGGGAATGCTTCTTTAACCTTCCATCATCTCCCGGGCTGATTTAGATACTCCTCTTCAGTGATTTCTTACATTTCTCGCACGCCGCATATATTTCCTACAAGAGCATATGTCATATGTGTGTCACTATTTACTTGCTGCCTCTTCCCAGCCTCACCTGATACATAAAGCCTGTGGCAACTGAGAATGAACATCCCTTGTCAGATGAGGTAGTCGTCAAGACAGAAGGGGAGATTACAGTGGGTGCAGTAGAAGGTCTAGAATTTTGGATTGAACAGGAGCCTCATGAGGTCTTTGCCAAAGTGACACCTTAGAGACAAATAGGCTGCACAAGTGACAAGGCTACCTTGGCCTCTAGCTCTAATCAAAGCATTAGAGAGGTTGAATCTGACTCCAGAAAATGGTGTGATTAGGGCTTAAGGCAAGAGAGAACAGTGTCCATTTATTTTTCTGTAAATGTGGAATTAAAATTGTTTCTTCAGTTTTTTTTATCTCTGACTCAGAAGAGGGCAGAGGGGCATGAGCAAGACCAAAGGCAGACTTGTGTGAAGCCTCCAACTTCCTTCAGCCTTGCTGTTGTTTCTGCAGTGAGAAAATCCATGCAATTGAAGCCCCGTGTAACTGGCTGAGTGCTCCAAGAGACACGTCTCTGCGAAACTCACATTATGTTGTCAGGGACTGCATTTGCCTCTTCTGTGACATTATTAAGAAGAAAGGGAGAGGGATTTCTTAACCACCAATGCCTGTGGATGATGCTGGATATCTTGGCAGGCCGTGGTTAGCGGCAGCTGATGCGCCCAGGTAGATGTTTATTGCTAGGAAAGTAGATCAGCGTCATTTCTTTGGGGGATGGGTACTTGACCAATGACAGGCTGATTAGTCAGTGACATTTGACCTACAGTTTCTATTGCTTCTGATGACTGACTTGCTTTCCTAGTCACTGCATTGGAAGAATCCCAGTGATTCTGAATCAGCACCTGAGGGAGAGCATTACAAAGCTGAGCGACTTAACACTTTCTCCATCTAAAAGGGAGACCCGGCAATCCCGAAAATTCTGGGTACACTGGCTTTAAAGTTTCAGATTTCCTTGTAGATGATGATTACAAAGGCAAAAGTCTCAATGCAAATTATTTCCATTACTGCATCTTTATTCCTATGACAGGACATAATTATTTTGTGGATAAAAAACTATTTGTTTTCATCTCTGTCATTTGCACCCACAGAAACCATTTCCTCCTTTCTTGGGAGTTTCCCCTGCAGCTGGACAGGCAAGCAGAGCTGTGTTTCAGTCAGCAGAAACCTACTCCTGCTAGTGCGTCTCGTACCGGTTCCCTCATAGGACCCTGGAGAGGCTGACCTTGAAATATGATCTCTGACTATCTCTACCTTCCCCTAGTTTCTCTGATTCATTCAAGGAACTGTTGTCAAGTCTCTTCCTATGCTCCAGGCACTGTTCTAAGCAGTGGAATACAGCACTGAATAAAGAAAATAATCATCAAACTGACATCTAATGTCAGTGCTTATGAAACTGACATTCTCGTGGGGAGATAAACAGTAAACAAATACTACATGTAATGTGTCAGATACTCACAAATGTTATGAAGCAATCAGGAGGGAGGACTAGAGGATGAAGACAGTGCCGTTTTAGATTTAGAAAAGCAAGCCATCTGGGGACTTGGGGACCAAGAACGTCACAGATAGAGTACTAAGACCCTGAGGGGGAAACCCGTCTGGCAGGTTGCAGGGGCCTTCAGAAGGCCATTGTGGCTGGAGCAGAGTAGGAGGCAAGCAGAGGGAGGTCACTTGGAGAGGTGACAGCCCTTGAATGCTTTGTTGCTGTTTCTAATCAGTCACCAGTTACCAAACCATCCCACCTATCTCCATGACCCTCGTCCCAGTATTTCACTAGCACAGGTAGAGGAGAGTTTTCTTTGTTGAGGAGAAGGTCAGGGCTGGAGACCGTCATTCCTTTAGAAGCACCTTCCTTGCTTTTGACCTTCCTTTATCCAACTGGCTCCTGGAAAAGAAAGAGCAGGAGGCATCCTAGTCCCTACAGTCTAACCGGAAACTTTCTCCTCATCTTTTGTGTTTCTCTTTTCCAGCAGCCAAAGTAGGCAGCACAACTGGGAAATAGAGTTTGCCTTTGTTTTTGCTAGGTTCACAGGCACAGCCAAACTTACTCATTTTATTTGAGAGAGAAAGGGAGAAATTGCCTGGAATGTGCCATAATAGTGGGTAACTGAGTACTAATTATATCAGTTTCATGCCATTTAAAAAACATTAAAATTTAAATAACAGGAAATTTTCACAGGCCTGACCACATAAAAACACCAGGGTAGAGTCATAATAACCAACCAGATCTACCTAATGTTTTAGTTTATAGCCCCTCTGTCACCTTAGTTTAAGACTTATTATCTTTCACTCACTAATCATGATATTCTTTTATGTGTTTTCAGGTTAGTATGAGAAATCACATATGGTGTACATTAAGTACACCTATCACCCAGTCTTTTTTAGCTAATAAATGGAGCACTTTGTTGAAACCCTAATTATAAGATAGTCAATTAAATTAACAATTTTTGCATGAGCTTGAGAGTGATGGTTTTGTAATTGATATGTGCAATGCAGTAAGTAAAATACCCATAATG